TGCATATTAAAAGTTGCATCAAGTTTTTGGCATCATTGCCGGGGATTTAAATCTTCTAGTAGTTGTGTCAAGTTCTTGTAATTTTAAGCATATATAAAGTCGCTGTCAAGTTTTTGGCGCCGTTGTCGGGGAAGCTTCTGTAAGAACTTTAGGAGAATTTTAGTTGAAGTAATTAGGCTTAGACTTGAAAAACTGTAGTGTCGTAAAAATTATTTTGTGTGAAAAGTGTTTTTATATGAAAAAGTGTTAAGAAAAAAAAATATTTTTATGAAAAATAAGGTGTTCGTGAAAATGTTTTGTTGTGTTGAATATATTTCATATGTTATTTATTTCATTGTTAATGTATTGTTTGTTGTGATGCGTATGCGAAACAAAGGATCTGGAGGACTTGTGTCTTATGATCCCGAGTTTGAATAAAAGAAAAAAATAAAAAAAACAAAGAGGACTCGAAAAACTAGAAATGGAAATGGAAAACTTTCAAGATAATAATTTGGAAAATTTTGGAAAATCATCATACTTCATTGAGGAAATTATCATACTTCATTGAGGGATTACGTAAATCCTACGACAGATGAAATTCACTCAAGTACGCAAAATCCTGTCGTAGAAGCTGACTCGTTTGAAATAAATCCCGAGATTATTCAACTGGTGCACAATAATCAGTTTGGGGGAACTCCTTTAGAGGATCCTTATTTACACTTATCAAATTTTATAGAACTTTGTGCTATATTTCGTTATAACGGTATGTCAGTCGATGTTGTTAGACTAAGGCATTTTCCTTTCTCACTAAGGGATAATGTTAAAATGTGGTTATACTCATTAGCACCTGGCTCTATTAAAAATTGGGAGGAGTTAACTCATAAATTCTTAGTTAAGTGTTTTCCACCTTCACGGCTTCTAAAACTTAGAAATGATATTATCTCTTTTTGTCAGTATGAAGGGGCATCAATATACGAAGCCTGAGAAAGATTTAAGGAACTCCTAAGAAAGTGTCCACACCATGCTCTGTCTGATTGGTTAATCATTCAAACTTTTTATAATGGGTTAGTAGAATCCCTCAGGTATATAAGTGATGTTGCCGCTGGTGGATCATTAATGTCAAAATCATTTGATGAAACATACACATTAATTGAAGAAATGACTACAAATGAGTTTCAATGGCCCTCTATAAGGGTAAATCCTAAAAAGGTAGCCAGTGTTTATGATACAAATGAGATTTCAATTCTTGCATCTCAAGTTGTTGCAATATCAAGGAAGTTGGACCAATTTGGAATGAACCAGCCTCAACTCACTCCAATAAATAAGGAAAGTTCATTTGGGCATATGATTGATTCTAACTTATCATATGA